CGCCCTGATAGCAAGCGCTGCCATTAAATTCTCATTTGAGGTCTCGGACATAAAATTTCTTCTTACTGCACTTCTAAGTGACAGTGAAGATAATTCTCGAAATCATTCTTTGAATTTTTACCAGTAGATTGGAAAAGCCGTCTTCATCAGGATGGAGGTGATACCGCTTCAATTCATGGAGTTTCCAGAACTCCCAAACCCAAGCAACTAGGGATGACGCACGGAAACCAGCTGGACAGGACCTATCAATCAACGGAGTGAATACACGGAACCCAGAAGTTTACCTATGTAGTCCTGTACAAGACACCCGAGACATTGGCATACGTGAAAAGCTCTCAGTGCACGTATGTCAAGAGCTCCGTGCCTCCGGCCACGGGGGGGGGGTGGATTCACAAAATTGGTGGAGGAGTCGGCCCTACAACCCCCTAACCCCTGAATGTTGCTCAGCTCGTTCTACATTATGCGTTGCCGCGAAAGTTGTCATTTTTCAGCAGAAAAACTGACAATTCAATTACCGTAGCTAGCCACTATGTGGGACAACCTAAAGCCGAGTACTCTGCCTTCTTTTCGTTTCTGAGATAGTATAGTTGCATGGTTCGCTGTCCAAGTGGTAGTACGCAAAGAGGTTTTACAATCCTATTAGCAGCGGATGATGGGCGGCGTCAATACGGCTGGATTTGGCGCGCCACCAGATCATTCTCCCCAGTTGTTGAAGCGCGTAAGCGACTACATGTGATGAAAATAGACCGATACGAAGGATATGATGGTCTACTCGCCTGCAAAGAAAAGGCGGACTGGCGCCGCGCCAAACTCAACCCCTTGGCATTCATTATTATCCGCAGCGAATAAAACTATAATTATGCATAAGGAGTGGACAGTAAATATTTAATCACAGTGGCAGCTGGCCAGGTAGCAGTCGTCATCCTTGCACTTGATAGTCAATGTCAGTGCGGCTGCGTGCGCGGTCGTCAGCACCCGTACTGCACCAATCGTTGAACCAGAGAGTGACATTACTGTATTATATCCTTCGTGTTACTCGTTTTCTATCACTTTTTGTCGCATACGCGTTTCAACGAAAAGGCTGAGAAGGCTTCAAACAGTGTGCACGCTCCTTCTCGCCGACACGCCCTATCAAGTGCAAGGATGACGACGTGTAGAGCACCCATGTATTCAACACCCTGAGCGTCAGCTGCACTGCAAAAAACGAAAAAGGAAAATCTTCTAAATAAAAAGTTGGATATATATTTGACAAATTTACTGAACTGGTTGAGAACACAAACAAACCACACAAAAGTTATAATCTTGCATAAAGTGAATCAGAGACTTTCTTACGAAAAAAGCTCTTTTGAAGTATTGCCCAAGCTACAAACTCGCGCTATGATGGGGAAAGAGAACAACGCCTGTCATGAAACTGTCTCACAATTAAAATCTACAATTGAAAGGTTCATAACATTCAAAACCGCTTGTTGCTCGTACCACATAGCAGCAACACCCAATAAAAAACAGCAAAGTTAAGCGGTTAAAGAGTCGCTCTAACAATAAAAAAAAAAAAAAAAAACAAGTGAAATGCGGATGGTTCGTTGCCCTCAGGCGACCTTTATGTTGGTCACACAGCCTGCGCAGCTTAAACGGGCGGGGAGGTGCGGGCGGGGGGGGGGGGTTGGGCAAGACAATCGTGGTTCGCCGCACCGTCGCCACGGCAATGGATGCGTCTCTCGCATAGGGTGTTCCACAAAGAATCTAGCGCCCCTGAGGCAGCGTTCGGACTTGTCGCGCTTAAACGCGCGTTGATTGTCGCGCTTTAATTGTCGCTGTCGCTTGTAATTGAACACGCGACAATTACAAGCGCCGCTGCAAACTGCTACAACCAGATCCCATTTATGTTCTGTCTTATTTCAACCCGTCGTTCACTGTTTCTTTGACCACCTGATTCTTAGCTCGGCCCAGCCTTGCCCCTCCTTTTTTTTCACTGACGTTTTTGACGACGTTTTGTGAAGTCTTTGACGACGAGTTTTTTTAAACGGTATACAAAATCATTACCACAGTGTCCTGTATCAAAAACTACATTAAAATTCGATGTCAAAGTGAAAAAGAGGAGCTAAGAATCAGATAGAAATGAAAACCAGTGAAAAAGGAGGTTGAATATTGGAAGAAAGAAGATAAAGGAAAGCGGGGTCTGGTACTAGTACTGTAATTGTAGCGTGCTCAGTTACAAGTAACAGCGACAAATGAAGCGCGACAATCAACGCGCGTTTAAGCGCGACAAGCCTGAACGCTGCCTAAATTATGATATCGATTAGTCCGTCCACACTCATTGCGAGAATTACTTGATATTAGATCATCGTGTATGCAACTACAATTTACTTGCGCCTGCGACAAGCGGCGTCGCTGGCCATGGGGGTTACGATTGTCTTGCCACACTTTCAAAAATAGCACTCTATTATGAGTAGTACACATTTTTTAATGGATAGTCATGCGAAGCATGTTCAATAAAAGCAGTGCTACACAACCGAAGCCAGACAAATTTCTCGGCGAACCGTTTGAGCAAAGTTATCTATACTTTTTCCAGCACGTTCAACTCAGCAAGCTTCCCCTTACCGAAAATCCAGGAATGAGCTGAACCCACCTCAGCACTATGTTAGCAAGTTGAACAGAAGTGAATTCGTTTGGAATCTGACTACGAAAGCAGCGACGGAATAAACCTATAAGACTACAACTGAAGCAAATGTGGAGTCAAGGTTGATCTTGGCGACGAATAACAATTTTTCCGTCTGCTAACGGAGATCACATAGAGAATAGTACAGAATCCGACATGTTTATTTCCCCTTACACACTTTCATATGACGACTAAGGACAGATCTACCCGAATACATTCCTCCACAGTGTCGGCATACCAAACGCTCCTCTGAAAATCGATGACAATAGTTTTCATCTGTTTCTTTCACTTGAAATTCTAGACTTACTCATATGCATTCGAGTCATGTGATGTCTTCTCTCCGCTGTCGTTTTGAACAGACGATCGCACACTTCGCACATGTATTTCACTTCTGGCGTGTGTATTGCTCGGACGTGTAATCGCATTCTAGAAGATTATCCTAGTGATGTTGCTAACGATGTGTTAATCATATGGAAAAAAAGCCATCGATAGTATTCGGGATGAGGAGTCAGAAAGGCGAGCATCGGAGGGAAATCGCAGCAGTTTCGACAATCTTTTCACTTATACCAGCTGAATCACGAAAAGGTGCCAACAAAGTTGGAGAGGAGGGGAGGGTACATCATAGTTGCGGGATTCGCTCGGGGAAGGTAAGTCACTCACCGTAAGTGGTCGGGGGAGGGGGTTCGTGAGGCGGTATGGTTTTTCACTATTGATTTTTTTCAAGCCTAACCGGCGGTGTCATGGCTTCACTAAGTTTCACTATTTATGACAGCTGACTGAATGTCCATTTGTGCTACCT